TTCACATCGATATGTTTTGATCTTTTATGGTACATAGGGTTCTTAGCTAAATTGATTGCACCTTGGTTGTCACCATTTACCAGAACACTATAACTTACCTGAACAATATTTAGATCAACACACAACTGCTTTAAGAACTTGGCTTCCTGCACTGCATCTGTCAGTGCCATATACTCTGCCTCACATGTGGACAGTGCAACAGTTGACTGTTTTCGACTTCTCCAAGAAACTAAAGGACCCTCGTCCAACAACTGAAAACCGTAGCCACATATGCTATGCCTGTCACAAACATCACCTCCCCAATCTGAGTCACAAAACCCAATAAGTTTTAGAGTCCTCTCAGATTTCCTGAATCTCAATCTTTGCTCAATTGTGCCTTTCAGATACCTTAGAACTTGTTTTGCAGCAATAAGGTTAGCTTCAGTGGGTTTCGACATGTTTTGGGAAAGCTTAGTGACTATATAACACAAATCAGGCCTTGTACCTGTCATCACATATATTAAGCTCCCAACTATCGCTCTATAAAGAGTTGGATCTTTTAATTCAGGTGATTTCGTATCCACAACCTTATCTAAACCTAGTACTGTTGGGGTCACCTTTGGCTTGCATTCTGCCATGCCAAACATTAACAGCAATTTCTCAATATATTGCTTTTGGCTCATTTCAATTGCACCTTCAGAACACTTGAATTCTGTGCCTAGGAACCATGACAGTACCCCCTAGGTCCTTCATTCTAAATTTATTACTTGAAGTATCTTTCACACTCTGCAAAAGAATTTCATGGCTAGCAGAAATTATGAGATCGTCAACCCAAATGATGATAATTGTACATTCATTTGTACCACCATTTCTAATGTAAACACATGGGTCAGCAAGTGATTGAGTGAAGCTCTCCTTCATAAGCTAATCGTGTAGCATGTTGTTCCAATTGCGTCCACTCTGCTTAAGACCGTACAAAGACTTATTTAATTTGCACACCAACCTCTCACAATTTTGTCCTACCCTTTCATAGCCTTCTGGCTGTTCTATGAAAATCTCACAGTCTATTGGGGCATATAGGCTATTTTTACGTCCATCTGATGAACAAGCATATTCTGAATTGCCTGCTGTAATAAAACATGAATAGAGCTCATCCAAGCGGTTGGGGAAAAGGTTTCATGGTAATCAATACCAGGAATCTGCGAGTAGCCTTTCGCTACATAACGAGTTTTGTATGTTTCAGCCTTATCTGGTCCTGTCTTAACGGTATACACCCATTTCCCCCCACTACCTCACGGCCCTTTGGGGGTGGGACCAACTCGAAAGTTTCATTGCCCTCTAAGGCCTCAATTTCATCATCCATGGCTTTTTTCCATTTATTTCTTTCAGGAGAATGTACTGCTTGGGAATAACTAGTTGGAATGTCATGGGTTCTATAGCAATAATCAACTGCACATGTTGCTGCATCATCAACAACCTTACCAGTTACATATTATGTTGGCTTAGTACGAGTTCGACTAGGGTACCGTACTTCATCATGCACAGTTTCAGTGCCATTTGCACTTTCATCCCCTTGTGTTGATATTACGCTCTCATTGGCAATCGGTACAGACACTTTACCGGGCAGAAATTCCCCTTCCTGTTCGTCAGGATTAACCAATAGATTCATGGTTGCTCTCATTGAAAAATTTCACACACCTTACACGTTCAACCTTATTGGAAACAGGATAAAAGACAAGATATGCAGCACTTCTTTTATCATATCCCACAAATATACCCTGTTTACTTCTAGGATCTAATTTCTTTGCATTTTGCACATATGCGTAACAAACGGAACCAAAGACATGCATATTGCTCAAATCTAGTTTAGACCCTTTAAATGCCTCATAAGGAGTTTTGCCCAATCTCGCATTGAAGCAACGATTTCTGATGTAGCCTACTGCCATAACAGCATAAGTCCATATGGACTTTGTCAAGTTTGCCTCAAGCAACAAACATCGAGCCATATTAAAAATACTCAACCATGCTCTTTCCACCGTTCCATTCTGATGTGGGGAACATGGTGCACTAGTCTCATGCCTTATCCTATTTTCTTGAAGAATAGATTTGAATTTATGACTAGTGAATTCTGTGCCATTGTCACTCCTGACACCCTTAACCCTCCCAAAAGGAGCAGCATCAGCCAAGAATTGCTGTAATGCTTCTGGGGTATCACTCTTACATTTTAGAAAATAGACCATAATAATCCCTGAATAGTCATCAATGAATGACAAAGCATACTTAAAGCCATCTCTTCCTACAGGATCAATAGGACCAGCCAGGTCACAATGCACAAAATCTAATGGAGCAGTTGCTCTTTCATCTGGGGATCTATTCCTAAATTGGCACATCTTACCTTTAGTGCAAACAGTACACTCTACTTCATCATAGTTGGAAATATTCATCCCCTCTACAACATTTTCCAATTTCTGAACATCACCATAATTACAGTGACCAAGGATTTTATGCCATTAATGCAGAGAACATGCACTATTCTTAGAGGATGAAATACTATTTAAATAATATAACCTACCTTTTTGTTCCATTCCAAACGTTGTGCCATCAGGACATTTGAGCTGTTTCACCTGCTTATCTAAACTAATACTGGCCAACCTTTCTATCGCAGCATGCACTGAAAAAATATTTTGATCATAGGATGGAACATACAATGCGCTATTTAACATTACGTCACATGCATTACCATTGACATCATAAAGTTTAACTTTGGCATTTCCTTTTCGTAATACTACGTTGGCTTTACTGCCATCAGCGAGTTCTATGACATGCGCACTAGGATTAAATTCTTTATCGAAGTCCACAAATTTTGATTTGTCATTTATAATGTGACTTGTGGCTCCAGTATCTATTAATAAACTAGAATTACTCTTATTATTTATACCTGATTTATTAATTGTGTCCTTGGATGTAAAGGCAAACGTATGTTCATTGTTCTCACTTGACGTTGTCTTCTCGGCTGCTGTCTTCGCCGCATCTTTCTTCTTCCGGCAATTCTTTGTCTTGTGGGTTTTACTTTTACAGTTGCTACACCATCTTTCTGATGTCTTCGACCAACACTCCGCGCTTTTGTGTCCCTTTCTCCCGCATTTAAAACAGTCCCCATCGAACTTTTGCTTCGTCAACATGATATTCTACCCGCGCTGGCAGCCTTCCCACCATGTGTCTTTGCACTTTCCTTGTGGCTTTGCAGCGCGCTCTTGAACTCAGCGAAGGTAATTTGTTTCTCTCTTTGCACAACTACCATGGTAAACATGTCGTATTCCCTTGGTAAGCCTTTCAAAACCATCGCGATTAACAATGCGTCGCTGATAGCTTCCTCGGCATTTAGTAACGCTGTCGCAAATGACTTGGCTCATATGACATTCGACTATTGGCTTGTTCTCTTCTTTCTTTAGCGACGTCAGTTCAGTATAAAGCGAAATTATACGTGGCTTTCCCTTCCTTTGGTAGTGCTGTCTGAGAACTTCTAGCGCTTTCCTCCCGTCTCTTGTGCCTCGTATCACTAGCGATAAACTTCTATCGTCCAGACATTGCACGAGTTCGGGAAAAAGCATCAGCTTGCGTCGAAGCGTCTGATGGGTCTTCCTCGCTTGCGTCTCGCACAAATACTTTATATAGCTTTTGTAGCCGCATATAGCCCAGGAACTTTACTTCCCACAACTCATATTTGCTTTTGTTACCGTCAAATAGCAAGTCTCTTCTTGGCCCATAACCTGTTGAGTTCATTGTAGTTGTCATTATTATATAATTGTCATTCTTTATTACAAGAGATACACACGTTTTATTTTACATCAAGTGCGTTTATGTTACAATGTGCTGAATTACAATTGGTCAGAATAATTATTAATCATGCTATATATGGTATTACAGGAAATATATTGTATTCATTGTCTTAATCATATCATTGGTTAACTGATCTAAAATCACAACTAATTACATTATTATTATATGAAGTATTATGAGCATAACTTAACACTTATATTAGTAGTCTATCTGCTAAGTATGGCTCAATATATATTGACAATGCTGATAATGCTGAAATAATTTATGAAGTTCACCTGAGAATTTCTTCTTATGCTCAGTCTGAAAGTATTTTAGATTGTTGTACACAACAAAGGCAGCTGAAAAAGTAACTTTATCACTGTTCGCACCTTCTACAAATCGTCAAACAAAGAACATCATGGTTCAAGTCCATTGATAGAGAATACAAATTTGGCTCTGTTAGAAAATATTTGTGTTCTGCTCGCTGAAGGACATGTCGATCCTCAATATGAATCTAATCCACAAAACATTAATTGTTGATTTGTTCACATCATGAGAAACATCTGTGGTGTTTTAGTTTATGAGAATTGATAGGGAGTAATACTGTAGGCTTAATAAGCAAAAATTTCTGTTATGGAATTAAAGGTTACTAGCGTGTACTGTCAATGCAACGGCATTGGGGATGTGATGAACCTTGCCCTCACCGATATTTGAATATTTTCCTAAACTAGAAAAGTTCCATCTAATGAGAAATGTCCAAGTGTAGAGCCGTAGGCACGATAAATTAATCACAATCGTTAATTGTTGAAATAGGTGCATTCTCAGAACGTTCAGGCCGGGTTTGTCCTTTATGCAGTTCTACTTATAAGAGAGCTTAAGGTTGCCACGTTTTTGATAGTAAGTCAGCTGAAAGTTATTGTCATGAACTGCAAACTCGTATCACGTCACTGATTTCTGAACAAGAACGGTGGATGACATCTCGCTACGTGATGACAAAAATATTGCAAGGTTTTTTAGTCACAAATGCGACTTGTCCACATAATAAAAAAAATGGAAAATCCCAATTTAGTTTGGAACATGTTTTGATCATCCAAGTTTTGATCCATGAATGTATTTCTTCTGACTGATATCTTGTTTCTGAATGTGCCATTGGAAGGCCGCTGGTGTTATGTACACCACTTTGCAGCAGCACATTCGTCCAGGCCACAAACTTTTAATGAAATGCATCCAACATGTGGATGCCGTAAACCTTTCAGGTCTGATCATTTGTGAAAATTCCCCAAGCCAAGCATCTTTCGACATTGCCGAAGAGGTCTGTGTTGTAGTTGGTGGAACTCCAACATCCAGGAGCCTGACTGAGCTTGAACTAACCGGGACATCATTACACTCTGGAAGCAGTGGCTCATCAACACCATTTTGCTTTTGATTCGTCTTCAGATGGGTATCCATGGTGTAACTATACTAGGTCCCCAACAATTGTATATATATACAGTAGCTGTGATTTTGGCTTCGAAAGGAGAACACACAAACAAGAACACTTTGCACTTCGGCATTGTACTGCTTCGAGTAAGAACTGATAATGTAATATGGGTTTTCAAATGATGAACATTTCGTGCAGAGCTCTTGAATATCTGCAGATGTAGTGTCAATACTATGTGTTTGCAAAACATGTGCTTGAACGCTCCTAGAGTGTCCTGAAACATTACTTTCGAAGCATGCATAACATTTTAAATAGCAGAGAAAGGAACTGCTGCAGAGGAATTCAATCTCATGATAATTGAAAAGGCAAGTTGTTTAAGGTTAGCAACACTGAACGTCACCATGTAATTGGATCCCTCCTCATGAGATAATCGGGGGTCTAAGAGCTGTTGATCATTGTGATGTTTTTCAATTATAATCTTTTGGCTGAGATCCTTTAGGTCTAATATGACTTAAAAGTGAGTTAATCAAACGTTTTTTTGGCATCCATGTTGCCCACAGACAAGTTGCTCGTTGGGACCTGTTGTTGTGTGGCATACACATAAATGGAGGGCCATTGCCCTTGTTGCATCATTTGCATGTATTCCTTTTCCACATTTAGAACATCTAACATCCATTTCACAGTTACATTACGAGCTTGTTTGCATTCCTTAAATTAATTTGTGAAAATATTATAAAAACCTATTTATACATGTATCTTGCATGTACTGATCTCAAAGGTTTAATGGATTAACAATTGAAGATAAAATGGATGTTTTTCTTGTTTATAATCATTTTTATATGAATTATTTTCTTGTTTATAAACTTAACAACAAAACACCTGAAGAGGAAGCAAAATGAGATTTCAAATGACAGAAATCACAATGACAAAGACATGAAAGTATGCTCTTTTGTGATAAATAACTAAGTAACAAAAGTAACTACGTTTTTGGTGCAATTTTAAGGTAAAGATCAGTAAAAAATATTTGTGCCATTCCTTTCTGCTTTACACATTTGTCTGCAGGTAATCATTTAAACTGCTTAGAACCACAGATCAATTTTCGCATGCGTGCATGAAGAGTTGAAGCCTGGGTGAAGTACTCCGCATGACAGCAGGTTCATTCGAGGTTGAGTGCTGCATTTTGAGCTTTTTTACTATGATAGTCTAATTTATAGGCCTGACCTACTTCTGAATAATCATTTAAACTTTTAGTTGAATGCAGAAAACAGATACATATGTTTATGAAATCTGCTGTGTTGGTGTAATGTACTCAGGTGAATAAGATGTTTGTGTGATGTTACTCTGAGTGTATATCCACACCGGGCAGGCTTGAAAAATATGCCTGGCCACGGCGGGATTCGAACCTACCACCTTTGGAATACTAGCCCAATGCTCTTCCAACTGAGCTACGCGGTCAGGACGGTTCGAGTATGCGATATTTCGGAACTGAGTCTAGCTCCTTCGATATCAGTGTAATCTAATAATCATGAAATCTGCTGTGTTGGTGTAATGTACTCAGGTGAATAAGATGTTTGTGTGATGTTACTCTGAGTGTATATCCACACCGGGCAGGCTTGAAAAATATGCCTGGCCACGGCGGGATTCGAACCTACGACCTTTGGCATACTAGCCCAATGCTCTTCCAGATACATATGTTGTACGAAACGAAGCTACAAGAGTCACTGCAAAATGCAACAAGAAGGTGTTGTCATTGTGCTGTGAAGGTCAAATCTTGATTCACTTACGTTTCCTTAGATAAGGATTTTTTAAGATTTGGGATTGCTTCACATGAAAATACTATCAATTCCAATTTCCAGATGCTTGTTCATTGCTTTATTAATGACAAAAGACACACAATTTCGCATATTTTATGTTTTTTGGCGAGAAAAGGTCTTGTCAGATCCAAGCAGTTTTTTTATTTCTCACTTCGTGCTGTGAGGCATAGGACAATAAATCAGCCATTGAAAATAGTGCATACACATTTAAAAATATAGCATAAAAAGCGATATACATAAGAGGATCACTAACCTTCCAATTTTGTAATAATTTCCTCTGAAAATCCCTCTTTTTTCAAAATTTCTCGCATGCCGTCATCTTTTTCCTCCGTGTTTGGTGTCTACTTCAGCAAGCTTTGCCACAGAATGGAATTCCCGCTCGATTATTTTGCAATATGATTGGCTAAGAACTTTAAATCTTTAAAGATTGAAAAAAATTAAAGTGGTCCTAATCGATTGATTAATTTCAATCGAACGGCCCACTGACTGCACACTTTTCAATCTAAAATCAATGTAGTAGATTGATTTTTTTTTTCTTAAATAATTGCTGCCGCAGGCAGACCCTATTCTTGACGTGCTTCCTGTTTTTACTCGCCCCAGTCTCTTTCGCGGAGTTATGTATAGTCAATCTCGATCTGGGCTCTGTCTGTCCGGTAAGATGTCGTATTACGGGGGGACATTGTGCAAGAGAGGTTCGTGAAGTGAGGGGAATTAAAATGTTCACACTTGAAGAAACGACATGTGTTCGAACATTACATAATTACAATTTGCAAACTAAATACGGATTAAAATCGATCAGGTTAGTATGACTAATTACTTTTCTATTTGCTTCTGCTAGTGATATTTTATACACCAGTTGCTTCTGCTAGTGATATTTTATACACCAGAGCGATCTTCTTTCATACAAACTTTTCTGCTGATCTGAATTAAACAATTTATACCCAAGGGCCAAGTACAGAAACGATATGATGACATGATGTAAACAATATTTTATACCCAAACCAAGGGCCCAAGTCCAGAAGCAATATTTATTCCATCGTATTGTAGTCGTTGATCAACTGGCTGATCTTTTTCATGCAAAATACTAACATAATTCATTCCTAGTGTTTATTTTATTTGAACACACAGACGTATTAATATGAAGACCGTTTGCACATTCGATTGTTGCATTAAGTTTGCATTTAATAAATTGTTGTATTCAATACAAAATATGAAGACCGTTTGCACATTCGATTGTTGCATTAAGTTTGCATTTAATCACACAGACGTATTAATATGAAGACCGTTTGCACATTCGATTGTTGCATTAAGTTTGCATTTAATAAATTATTGTATTCAATACAAAATATGAAGACCGTTTGCACATTCGATTGTTGCATTAAGTTTGCATTTAATCACACAGACGTATTAATATGAAGACCGTTTGCACATTCGATTGTTGCATTAAGTTTGCATTTAATAAATTTTTGTATTCAATACAAATGAACGCATGTACAACTATTCAGCAACTTTCTTAGTTGTATATATGATGATCTTTGTTATATAAATTTGCATGTTAGTACAATTATTATTTTTATATATAGGTATGTTCTGCTATACATGTTGATTAAATTTGCATGTGCTTGAATCTCATTGCATGTGCTTGAATCTCAAATTATTATATATATATATTATTCGTGATCTTGCCTCTGTCCGGTAAGCAATCTCGTTCCCCAAC